TGAACGAACATAGACCATCATAAAAGCACAAATACAATAAGGTTCAATATTAAATAACTGCAGAAACACAAATTTTAATTCTCATGATTCTCTCTCCACGCATTGAACATTTGTAATGCCAAGTTACCCTTCTATGAAGACCATTGCTCTGATGAAGTAACTTGGCCAGTATTGTCATGATTTGCATAGCTTTCAAAGCATTTGAATTCATTAATATGATACTTCCATTGGTTTGTTTTACGTTTCTCTGCCACTAAGGTTACTGTAGAAGACAAAATAGTTTTTTTATCTGACTTTATGTTTTTAGTGGGCAGAATGATGAACTACGTAGGATTGCCCAGTGTGTCTTCAGATGTCCAAAACAACATTCTTTTACATATATTCTAACGTGCTTCATTTTAAATATTCCCTAAGGTTAACCGATGCAAATCCGTCTCTTTGTTTTGATAAATGATATCTTGCTCCTTCCTCTATATGGCGCAATGAGTCTGCTACCATTTTGTAGGCAACATCAACAATGTAATAACAAAACATGTGAAGAATAAAAAGCAAGACAACAAACTAAAAAAAAAAAAAAAAAAGGTTATTTTAGAAGAAAATAATAAATAAATAAAAACGAGTTGAACTCTTGTTTCTCCCTTGATACTTTATGGCTTAGAGGAAAGAAGTTGGTAATGGACTGCAAAAGATTGAAGAAACAGAAAAATTAGGTGAAATCTTTTGTTAACTTGAGAAGATGAAAAGAGTTTTTGGGCTGGGATTTCAAATCCCTTGTGAATAGAATGTTAACTGAGTCTATGTGGGTATCATATCTCTACTGCCATGGTATTTCTAAGTCATCAAACTATGAAATTAGGATAAGACATGGGATTGGTTTTATCCCGCATTCCGCAAACCAACTTTGAAGTGTATGAAGCATTAAATGAACAATTAATTGATGTGACAGGCCACTTGGACAAATTCGTTTCCCTAGCCTTGTGTTTGTTGATTGACTTCTTACCATTGGATCCAATAGTCAGAATTAAAAGTCTCCCAGTCACATAAAATTTTGGGAGACTGGATGTGAGAACCAATCACTTTGCAACTCAACTTTGAGATATTGAATTTATTTAGCTTTCTAGAACACTAATTTTTATCTCTTTCAACCATGTAAATCGTCGTATACTATATAAGATCAAAAGTTACTTGCAACCTTTTTCAAAAGATCATATTTCTACCGAAAGCTCCAGTGGATGAATCCTGGTTTAGAATTTATCAAAATAGCCAAGTTACAGTTTGTCTTTAACGGTCTCTCTTAAAGACGGTATTTCTACCTAAAGCCCTAGTTCACGAATCCCAGACAAGAATTTATCAAAATAGCTAGAAATAAACTAAATTTTCTAGCTCCTATTGTGTTATATTTATGTTTCTAAAACACCAGGCATTTAAACTGATATAAACAATGAACTGTAGTACATTTTGCACTGTGGATTGTTACAATAGATAATATTTTAGGTCATAAGATCCAGGAAATGGTATGAAAATTCACAAAATGTGTTAATACTTGTGTTGGTAGGTTCCAAGCTTTTGTACACTTTGCAATATTAACTGTATAGAGACTGCTATTGTATGGTAAACAAGACAATTTCAGCTTTAGTTATAAATTTGGGCAAAGAGATCAAGGAGCAAGTAATTTGGTACTAAATGCCCTGATAGTGTGAGGATTAGAATTACATATAAAAATATATTCGACACTTCACAGAAAGATTTAAACCATGAGAAGGATGAATTGATTCTAGGCCTTCTAGGTCCTTCCAAAAGCCAAATCATGTGGGGTTATACAGGAGATTGTGGTTGCAGTTTTGCCCCTTGCGTCTTGTTTTTCTTTCTTTTTAGAATCTTCTATTTAAAAGTAGTTACTCCTTCTTAATTCTCTAATGGAGTAGTCACTGGTCTTTGGTGCTTGTGATTCTGGTCTGAATTTTTCTTTTTTCATATTTATTTTGTGCTACCCCCATTTGATAACCGACTATGAGCAATACCATATTCAACTCATATGTTCATTCTGTTTTTTCTCTTAGTACTTGTCTTCTCCATTCTGCATTGAATATTTCCTATTTGTGAGGATACATTCTTGATTATTATATGTGAAGGATGGACAGATTGCTGTTTCTTCCCAATAAATATTTAATGTGCTTATTTCTTTATTGGCCACTATTCAAGTCCGTAAGAAAATTCTTGTGGCTTTGTTCATTAGCTTTATTCTTACTTTATTGGCCTCCTTTATATCTCAGTCATTTAGCTCAGTTAACAGGAAGGTATCTTGCATTATTCATCAACACTGTGTTTCAGATGATAGTGCATCTTTAGTGCTGTTGTCCTCTTTCATACCTCAATCATTAAGTGCTGGAATGATTGCTCTGGAAGAGTATGAAGACGATATTCTCTTGATGGGTTCCTTAAATTTTAGTGGCTAGGTTTGGAATTGTTTGTTTTATGGCCTCAGTAGGTATGTTTGAGTATGCCAATAATTTATTTTCTCCTGAAGAGTCTTTTTTTACTTGGTCAGAATGGTGATAAATAGTAAATCAAATTCTGCCTTAATGAAGCTTGTATCATTTGTGTAATGCTGTCTTGCATAATGTGAGTGCATACACTTGGACTTTGAAATAATGTTTTTGGATCTACCTTTCAAAATGTTTGGGGGAAGGAATCAGAATAGGACATGTGCATCACACTTATGTTATTGCAGTTGACTGTGATGAAAGTTTGCCCAGGAGTACTTGGGGAACATATAGTCAGATATTGTTTTGCCAGCCCTTAATATATATATGCGGTTTAATGCTACACATATTTTTCAATTTTATCTTCATCATAAACATTGTCCTAAGGGGGTGGTGTATTTTCTGGAAAGGAAGAGAGGTTTGAGGTTTGAGCTTCTATGCGTGTACATTTAGAAGTGTGGGATCGGATGTATGGTGATAAAATTTACTCTTGAATTTTGCAGTTAATAATTTTGTTTAAAGTTTCGCTTAGGTAATTTGCATTGCAGATTGCTGAACGAGCCCTCTTTTTGTGGAATAATGAGCACATTGTGAGCTTAATAGCCCAAAACCGGAATGTCATATTACCTATCATATTTGAGGCATTGGAGAAGAATATCCAGAGTCATTGGAATCAGGCAGTTCTAGGAATGACTGTCAATGTTCGGAAGATGTTCTTGGAAATGGATATGGAATTGTTTGAAGAGTGCCAGAATCAGTATACAGAGAAACAGTTGAGGGCCAAAGAAATGGAAGAACAGCGAGAGTTGACATGGAAGAGACTGGCAGACGTGGCAGCCGAGAGAGGGGAAGAGGATATGGTTACGGCATAACTGTTTGCTCTGAGTCAGATTGCCCACCCTAAAAACATGGATGATGGATGACAATGGATACACTCCCTCCACTTTTTGGTGGTATTCTTTTTTTTTTTTTTCCTCTAAAATTTTCTTCTCTTTTAATTTTTTTTGATCATATTAAAGATATCAGAAAACAGGAGCAGCGTAAAATGTAATTTAACTAGAATGGAATTTGTTAGTAGATGCTGCTGATTAAGAATTATTTGTGAAGGATATGTTGTATTTTTGTTCACTCATATTTGTTCCTTCTATACAGAAAAAGAATATTTTGAGTCACTTAGTTTGTATTATCACTTATAAATTAGAATTCTAGTTTTCAGATAGTTTGTGGGCAATTACAAAATCGGTGGTTTTGTTTGAAGAGTCAGAATTTTGTGGCTTTTGGATTCGTGATTGTTTTACGCTTCAGAAAATTGAGAAAAAGCAAGATGGAGAGTTGAGTAGATCAAGTTATAAATCCCCAAAACAATGCAAAATTTTAATTATATTTTTGGAAAAACAATGCAAGTTATGGTACAAATTACAATATTTGTTGCTGAGATTAATATATATTCAAAAAATGAGGTTCTGGTAATGTAGTCTATCGCATATAAGAATATTCAACTTATAAAATCTATTAATAAATTAAAAAAATATAAGTATAAAAAAGTTATAAATATATTTCACATGTAGTAGTTTTAACTTTCTATCATTCATTTGAAACACATTAGTATATATATCTTATGAGTAATATTAGTCTTATAAAGAGGCATACAAAGAGTTAAATTCAGCCCTTGAAAGAAGGGAAAAAGAGAGAGAGAAAGAGACAATCATGAATTTCAAGGACTGGATTTGACTCTTTGTATGGTTCTTTATATGCCTTTTTGTAAGGTTAGTATTACTTATATCTTATTGGAATAGAAAAGATTTGTCTTTAAACCCTAAGAAGTTGGTTTGACGAGGAAGGAGGTTTGCTCTTTTTTTTTTTAATTTAACTTAATTTACAATCTTTCCTTTCTTTTCAAATTTTATTTGCTTGTTATTATTCTTCACAGAAGTCAAAACTATGTCCAGCATTCCAATTTGATAATTATAGCGTCTTTTACTCTTACTAAATCGGATAACCATGACACAGACTAATGATAATGGAAGTAAAACCCAAAACCAGGTGTTAAATAAGAAACAAAAGTACAACTTTGTAAAGACACATTTTTCACAAGACTGAGTAGCTAAAAACATGCAAGCCAATTTTATAACTTCAAAGTTAATTAAGGAAAAGAGAGAGTGTTTTAACTGTATGGCATTTATGTAAATTTATTATTTAAAAAAATAGTCAAAATTGTTGGAAAATAAACTCTCAAACACAGGTTGGATGTTTTAAAACCGTTATTAAAAACCCTTTAAAATTGCTATGGTAGTTTACTCTCAAAACCGTAACGATGGTTTACCCTCATAATTGTTACCATAAAACTTCCAAGCAAACTTTTAAGTTTGTAAAATGTTTTATGGATTTTAGAGATTAGTTAAGTATGCAAATTGGTATGAACACCTGATTATCAAAAAAATAATAATAAATAAAAAAAAATTGTCCAAGAAAAACAACGCAACATGACAACATCCTATCCACTAATAAAATTAAACCCGTAAACAAAACCCGCAAAATTTCACCAAAATCAAACCCCACACCCATCCAAACTTCTGTTTCTCATAATCTTATCTAATCCCCAACACAAGTACTCTAAATTTTCCATTTCTTTTCAGCTTTAATGCCGAAAAAAGGAGGGGCTGCACTCCAAAAGGATGTGCCGTGGAGGCAATCTTCCGCGAAACCTCTTCCCAAAATCCACCACTCTCCTATTCTTCGTCTTCCCAATACTCCTTACTCTAATTACGCTCTTTCCGTCACCAAGGTACTTTTTTTTTTTTTTTTTTATAATTTTTTTTGAAGCTTTTATAACTTATTTATTTGCATGAATTTAATATGGATTTTTCTTTTTCTATCTTTTTTAATTTTTATTGCAGCATCCTAATCCTGTAGGAAGTGGGTTGGCTACAGATGCTATTGTGGAAGCAGCTGGTCCTGATTGCATCGTCCCTGGACAAATTAAACCCATCAGATTACTCGGTCTCAAGGTAATTATTCTATTTTAGTCTTCTTTTGTTATTTCATTTGTTGTTTTTAATTCTCTTTTTTTTTAACTTATTACTGTTTCATATGGGTTCAACTTTGCTATTGGGTTCTCATTCAGCGTGGCCAATTCTATGTTTTACATCTTATGATTCTGTTAACAGAATTTTAACTTGAATGTTATTGTTCTTTTGGTCATTTTTCTTAATATAGTTTTACAACAAATCCCTCGCCCGCCTTCAAGCGGATTTTGGTTCTACTCTGGTTTCGGAAACTAAATAGTGTGGAAATTTAATTAAGCATATCTCTCCTCCAAGCAATATGAACAAGATTCATATTCTTTAATTTGAGAGCTTGACGAGCCTCTTTTAGTCTTTATTGTCTCATCATAAAATTTCCCAAACGAAATTCATGGGAGTATAATCAATTCACAATTCAGAGGTCTTTTCCCTCAATCTACACTGTTGAAAACAGAGAACAAAGCATATATCATTTCTTTTTTCTTTTTCTTTTTCTTTTTTTTGGACAATTGACTCAGAACACAGAGGAATAATGATTCATTGCCAAATTTTCTTTTGTTCTCTGCTCCCTATTTTGTACATTAAGGCAAGAGACATTTGTGCCGTAAATTGGTTATATCCCTATCAATTTTGGTACTAGAAGTTTCTGCGAGATTATTGAAGACTAAAAGTGACGGCGGAATGTCGCAAGAAACCCAATGTTGACGATGTTGGAAACCCACTATGGATGCCAACCGTGGTGAGATTAGAAAAAACCCCACTATAGGCCACCTTGGTTGGCTAAACCAAGGATAACTATAACTTGAAAAGAGGAAGAGAAGCAAATGCTTATTCAAAGATATATTTATTAATACTTCTAGGGTGATTACAAAAGACAAAGTAAGAGTTTATTTATAGCCCACCAAGTGAAAGGCTAAGACTTATTTTTTCCATGTGGGACAAAAACAAAAGTCAACATAACATAATAATAATTTTTTTCTCTTCTTCTTTGCTCCTGCGTCATTCTTCCAAGGTTGGAAGAGACTCGTCGTCGAGTTCCATGTCTTCATCTTGTTTTCTGTAGTAAGGAGACAAATCCACAACGTTGAAAGTAGCAGAAACTCCATAATCTCTAAGAAGCTCAATCTTGTACGCATTATCATTAATACGTTTCAAAACTTAGAATGGTCTATTAGTACGAGGAGACAACTTTGTACGAGACTTAAGGAAACGTTATTTCCTTAGATGAATCCATACTAACTCTCCTTCCTTGAATTTAGCCGGTCTTTTGTGCTTGTTGACTTGTTGTTGATACTTAGCATTCTGATGAAGACTCTTGTCTCGAACCTTTTCATGAAGCTTCTTGATCTGTTTGGCATGCCTATCAGTGTCAGCACTGAATTCACGAGTAGTGGGTAATGGTGAGAAAATCTAAAGGACTAAGAGGGTGTTTTAACGTTTGCTGATTTGTCTCCTTACTATAGAGAACATGATGAAGACATGGAACTCGATTGTGAGTCTCCTCCAACGTTAGAAGAATGACGTAGGAGCAAAGAAGGAGTGAAAAAAATTATTATTATGTTATGTTTTGACTTTTGTTTTTGTCTCACATGAAAAAGTAAGCCTTAGCCTTTCACTTGGTAGTCTATAACTAAACCCTTACTTTGCTTGTTCATATTGCTTGGAGGAGAGATATTTATTCTTTTATTGAATTTCGCACTGTTTAGTTTCCCACAACTGGATCCATTTGCTACATGAACTTGCTTTTATATATGATGCAAGCAATAAATGGACGAGATCGAACTTGTAAAATAGCACATTTAACTTGTAATAGAATATACTCAGTACTGGTGAGATAAAAATACCTTGAAACAAGATTTTGTTATTATTGGTTGCTGTCTTTGTTGTTATTCCGGATATTGATTTGCTGTTGATGGCTCTTGTTTGTTTGGTGGTTCAAATACAGAAATATGTAATTGTTAATTGAAGGCAATTTGATATATGTGTAGAAAGAGATTTAGCCTTTAAAACCTTTGGTTTGGTGGTCATTTATGAAATTTTCCGTTTGTCTTCTGTGGAACATCTACTGGTTTCTGTAACAGATGTGAATGCATAGTTCTCTTTATTGTTTTTCGTGGTCATTTTATCTATACGATTTTCCTTTTGAAAGGTTGTAGTTGCTTCTTATGCTTGGACTTTTTGTTTCATGTTCTTTTGAAGATCATATGCTGAGTTATCTTACATAATGCAGTTACTTAGGGAGAACCTTTACCATACACTGGTTTTTCATTGTTCTAATTATGCTGGCATGACCTTTTATTTTTGGTCAAGTATATATTACTGAAAATTGCTGTTTCTATTTTTGCTCTTATTCTTTTCCTGTATGTTTTCTGTTTCATCCTTACAAGTTTTTTTCCTTTCCTGCATATGACAGGTTTGGCCAATTGAAGTTGACCTTAAATTTTTAGAACCAGTTGGACGAGAACTTAAGCTGCTTGGAAAGGTAACTCTCCCTGATTTTAGATTCTTTCTGGGGTATCTTAACGTATTTTTTTCCAAGTGAACATGTACTATGTATTTTATATTCATTGTGGAGCGAAGATTGTATGGTTATGCTCAATTATAGAACTGCAGATCTCTAAATATTGTATTAGATCATCCAAATATTTTTTTGAATAATAATGAACTCATCGGAGGAGCGAAAAGGAAAGGACTCTTTCCTTGCTTCCATCTGATGTGATACCCTTCTGCTTTGGCTTGGTACAAATACATCTGCATGTGATTATTTTATAGGCTATGGATTAGTTGGATGATCTTATATGCCTGTATGATTTAGCAGACTTTAACTGATACAGATGGTCTTTTAGGCCTCTGTACGAAATATCAACTATAATTTAACATCAAATATCAGTCTTGTAATAGAAGATTGATATCATTAGCCTAATCGTACTCCTATCCCTGACTGCAAGTAAACACACATGAGATGCTTCTCATATATGTTTTGATTGTAATACTTTTTGTAATTTTGTTTGCTGTAGAAATTTTTTATTCTTTCATGAATAAGGCATGTGAATTTGCATAACCGTTGGAGTTTCATATTCGATTTTATTGTTGCTCTGTATGCAGTTCATGGATGATGCTGTCAGCCTCATGAACAAATCCTTCATAGATCGGTAGTTGCTTCAGATTTTTAGTTGTTAAGAGAGCAGAACTACAGCCTGAGTGTTCTGAACCATTTTTGCTATGCAGAAGTCTAGCCGAGCAGAGTGACTGTAGATAAAATTTTCTTCTGCCCTTAATGTTTCTTCCTTTAGATCAAATAATTTCTTGGTCAAAAGATGGATGTGGACATATGGAGGTTGAAGTTTCTTCAGTGTTTCGGGTCATTTTTGTCTTGTGGACTTATTTACTATGACTGGAATCATGGATCTGTATACTTTCTTAAATTTGAATCAAATATTATAATGGAGTTTTCGAATTTTTGACATTTTCAATAAGTTGCATGGATTGCGTTGCATTGTTCATGTCTGATTGATCAACTGCTTCTGGTCTTAATATATACTCATCAACACACTGAAAGAGGTTAAACACAAATGAATAACAGTGTGTCCCAAGTTTGTATTCTGATTTTTAGAACCCGAGAAATGTNTGCATTGTTCATGTCTGATTGATCAACTGCTTCTGGTCTTAATATATACCCATCAACACACTGAAAGAGGTTAAACACAAATGAATAACAGTGTATCCCAAGTTTGTATTCTGATTTTTAGAACCCGAGTAATGTCATCACTCGGATTTTGAAAGAAAATTATACAAATGCTATCTTGGATAATGTCGTGCTTCAGCTACTTTCTCATATAATGTCTTTCCACTCATCACGAAATCAGATAACTGCTCTGATGATAGCTGTTCCAGGAGTTGAGCAAGTATGTATGAGAAACAAATAAACAAGATGATCTTGTAATGAACATAGGAGCTAATGCTACTGAGCCAGCCAGCACACCAGTAGAAGAGAAAAAGGAGATAATATATGATAAGTGGGATGATGCTATCTGATGAAACTAAGGGTAAATCTAGATGGAGATTCAAATTCTGGTTTTCTGTCCAAAACTCGTATCCATATCCATATCCATATCCTGTCTCTTTTCTCTTTATTAGTCAATAATTTTACAAAATATTGCATTTATGCTTTAATAATTGGCAGATACACAATAGCTATCCGCAGTTTGTAGTTGAAGCAAAGAACAACCTATGCATGTAAACGTAGGATGATGATGCAAAGAAGGGAGAAAGAACTCCGTACATAAATTGAATGATGACCTCATTAAAACCTTATTTGAGTTATGTAGGCCAATGGTGGAGTTCCCACAAACTAGTGTTCTCCAACTATGGATGCCATGTAAGATTTTCTGGTCACTGTTTCTTTTGCTATCTTTACCCAACTTGTTCCAGCTTGTATAAGAAGGCTTCAACCTCTCTTGAGTTTGCCACAATTCACAGCAGGAATGGCTTCCCAAGCAGCTATGCAAGGAGAAAAAATGCGCAAGGGGCCTTGGCACGAGGAAGAAGATGAGGTGCTGATAACTTTTGTGACCCTTTTGGGGGAGCGAAGATGGGATTACTTAGCTAGAGCATCAGGTACAGAATCAGGAGGATAGAAGTAAAAGAAGATTCATCTATATTTTATGAAATAAACTTACTTATTTCTTAAGTTTTTTGACTTGCAGGTCTAAAAAGGAGTGGTAAGAGTTGCAGGTTGCGATGGTTGAACTATCTTCGTCCCAATATTAAGCATGGTGATATAAGCATTGAGGAGGAACAAATCATCCTTCAACTTCATCAGCAATGGGGTAACAAGTAAGATTCTTTCTTATATTATTTCTGAAGTTATAGACTAAGTTTCAGTGGGGATTTTTCTTAACTAGATTCTCGTGTACCTAGGTCAAGAATTGCGCAAAGGTTGCCTGGAAGAACTGATAATGAGATCAAGAACTACTGGAGAACTCATCTAAGCAAAAAAATGCAAGCTCAACGAGAAGGTACCGAGCTACAGGTTTCTTCTGCTGCTTGATATGATTGCTATATTAGCAATTAATATCTATCCTAATCACTATGACCTTTTTCTACAGAAAACTTTTAATGTGGAGGAAATAATTCTGAACAAGATTTCATGTTTCAGAAAGTTGATTTTGATGTCCAAAAATACGAGCCTGATGACCACCATATTCTTAAGGATGCTGCAGGAACTGGGAACACCTCTTTCGATGCATCTGAGTGTTCAAACTTTGGAAATACAATTTCACCCTATGAAGCCAGATTATTAGATTGGATGACGGAGTTTTCAAGTGATGAAAGTAACATAACTCATCAAGAGAATAGTATAGAGTCAAATTATTATTACCAGACAAGAATTTCTGATGATACTGACGTATGGGGTTGGTCAGGCTCCATCTGGGATATGAACTAAGCTGACACTGGAAGTTAATATCTGAAATGTGAATAGAAAGAATTTGCAAGCTGTAAAACAAGGCTTGTTTATGTCACCATTCAAGAATTTGTGTAAATCCGAAGTTCCTTTCCTCTCTCATTCTCTAAAATATTCATTTCTGTTCTCTTTTCTGCTTGATTCATCACCAGAAGTTGAGAAGTATTCACATTCCTGCAAATTGCTTTTTATTCACATAAGAGATTTGAGTATAATTTCATATATTATGAAGAGGGTCGCAGCGCATAATTTCATTTGAATATTGATAACACGTGTAGGTGTTACTGTATAATTGATTTGGATATGCTTTTTCTTGGTAATCAAACAACTGAAGATATCATTTTATATCAGCATTATTGTGATACATATCATATCGTTAATTAAAAATTGGGTATAATTCATGATTTTAAATACATTTCCTTCATTAATTAATATGTTAAAAATGATTAAATTAACTCTTTTTATATAGGATAAAAAAAAGAAATACTGTAAAACCTCTTTATAAAGAAATACTCTATATAGGAATAATCTTTATATAATCATAAAAAATTATAGTCCTAACTTAGGATAGTTATAAATAAGAATAAACTCTACATTGTAATAATTTATAATTTTTCTAATTCCCGTCTTAAGAAAATTGTCTCTACATAATAATAATTGTATGTATATTACACAAAATATATATGCTAAGTTACATTAAATGTTTAAGATAAAATAAAATATTTATCTAAAGTTGTTTAGGACAATAATCTATGTTTTAGAGTTGTTATCACATCTTTTAACTTACGTGTACAAAAATAAATCACTAGTATGTGCACCTTCTTGAAGTGAAAAATATTTCTAGCTTCTCAAGCATATTTAGAGCTTCTTGACACGATTTTTTTTGTATTTCGGTACTATCATCCTCAGGATGATTTTCTTTCTCTTCTTGTTTAATTGTAGTAATGACCACTATAATAATGAATTGAAATCACAATATATAAAACGTGAACTATAAAATAGAAATCAAAATAATAATGTTTATAACTACACATTTATTAAATTATAACCTCCTTATAGTAATAAATTAATTTGATTATTCCATTATGACCGCATAAAAGTTTCACTTATATACATTACTCTTAATCTTTTAAGCTGGATTTGTTTTGATAAACCTTGGCTTCCTCAATACTACTTGTGATGGTTCATCAATCATCAGTAATGTCCAATGAGAATTTTAAGTGCTGAGCTATTAATAGTATCTGTAACATAAGATCTCTCTCAGGATCTTTTGATCAGAAAGGGGAGCTTAATTGGTGCTTAACAGAGAAAGCTTGCATACGTTTATATGTTTATTTATTTTAATAAATCTTTAAAGACATTTGAGTTGGTAGTGTGTGATAAAAAACAAATTAGCAGAAGATAATATTATCCATCTGGCAGGTGATGAGGTGGGAACAAGTTGCATAGCTTAAATGACATTAACTTAACTACAAGACACTGGTTTTTAATGGAAACAATATCACATAATCCTAAATCTCTTTACTTTTTTAGATTCTGAGAACTTGAATTTGGTAGCAAAACCTGCCCGAACTACATCATCACCTTCTATATTTGTCCACAAACTAATGATTATATTTTGATTTTCATATTTGTAGATTAGATTATATATATGGATTATATAAAGTACAGAAAAAGCCGCCACACACAGATAAGCTTCAATATTTAAATGAGCAAGAACTACTTATGAGTTATGAACTACTCCAGTCATATGCATACGTCAAAGCAATAAAATTTTATTATTTTAAAAGATATCAATAATATTGATTACTAAGATAAATAAAAGAGAATAATCGGATACATGAACAATGAGGTAACTCCATTATACAAGGAACTTTCTGTTTCTTCAATTAACTGGTGGTTTAAATATAAGCCCATTGAGAGAGATCCTACTAAAAAGTGGCACTTATCTTATACGGTGGAGACATAATATTCTGAGATAATTAGCAATACTCCCTCTTTAATGAAGTAATAGAGAGTAATATGAAACCAAAAACAATAAACACACACAAACCACAAATTAGTAAATAGAAAGAATAGTACACACGATTTATTTTGGTTCATCCAATTAACATGTTATGTCTAGCAAAGTCAATATTATTGTAATACTATCTCACTTTTCTCATTTACAATGAATAAAATTTGCCCTATGATTTGCTATCACACTTATACAAGAGAAAAATATGTTTATATACTAGATTTGAAAGACTAAAACCTAATATTATAAGGATTCATATTCTTAAACCCAAACCAAATAATGAATTAATAACTTAGATAAATCCTTCAACGGAACCCCCAAATGCATTTGCATGACCCCTTATTCTTGAAGTGGTCGACAACTCTTAACATTTAATATTTGTTGATTGTGGATTAATTAATCTAAATCTTATTAGCCTTAGTAATCCAAGTCCTTATGCATACATATCTGTTTTTTGACCCTCAAATTGATTGGCTACTTTACAAGAAAGCAACTCTCACTTTAACTCAAATCAAAGACTTAATATCTTTTTATTAAAAGTTTATGTAATGTTGGATTTTATGATACTTGATAATATAGATTTGGTTAAGAAATCTATCTTGAGGTGCATGTTCATCTTGTCCAATATGCCAAATAGATCAACACTTGATGAAATTCTTGCTTAAAATTGTCTAAGGTAACCCTAAGGGTTGGCCTGGCGGTCAACGAGGTTTGCTCACTTTTTTGAGTTTCTGGATTCAAACCTTGAGGCTACCTATCACAATAACATTGTGGTTTATTTGATCATTTGGACTTATATGATGTTCAATGAACTCTTCGAATTTATTGGGCTTATAGGGTGTTTAATAGACCTTGAGAATTGGTTAAGATGCGAGTAAACTGTTCCGGATACCTGGTTACAAACAAAAAAAAAAAAAAAACAAAAAAAAAAAATTGTCCTAGGTTATGTTTACAAAAGCTAACAGACTACATTAAAATTTTCCCAGACTTGTCTTGTCAAGAGATGGAAACTTAAAAGAGGAAAGAAAATCAGTGCTTAGTTTCTTGTCATAGCATGAATGTGATGGATGAAGAATACAAGAATAAGAAGCAAGACAATGCAATTAAAGCAGAAGTTGAGGAAGGCATCGGTTGTTTGCTGCTTCCTGCCCCGAATCCGGTTTCGTCGCCGGGTCCTCTGCTCCACATTCCCAGGTTGTTGTCCCTGCTCATTCATCCATTACACATTTATTCATCAATTTTTAACTAATGATGGGTGAATAATGATAATTCCAAAAGCTGAGGGGGTGAAGAAAATTGAGAAAAAGAAAAAGGGAGAAAAAGTTAGAAAAAGAAAAAGGGGGAAAAGCAAGAAATGGGGAAGAGAGAAAGAAAAAGAGGATGTAAAAATTACTGTTACCTGCCACCAACACCAAGAACACCAGCATGCCAAGTGAGTTGCACAATAAGATCAGCTGATTTAGGCTCCACACTGAAAGCTTTTTCATATTTCACCTCAACTCCAGCACCTGATGCCACAAAAAATGCACCATTCACCATTATGTCTCCTTCTGATCTCCAATTCCAGCCCTTCCATTGTCCCTCTCCCGTGTCCACTCTCTTTGTCACCTGCACCACAACCCATGTTCATTAATCAGATCTATCTATTAACTTCAATTATTTTACCTACTTTACGAGTCAAATAGTTAAATTACAAAACATTTGTGTCTAAAAATCAGGATCCTCTCTTGATAAAAATTTCTACTTAAACAAATAAACGTTTGTGATTAATAGTTACGAAATATGAATGTATTATACAAATAGATCTGAACCATAAACAAGTAAAAGCTTGTATAAGTATCTTAGTTCCTTAATTTATCACATTATATCCTTTATTCCTATAGTATGCCAGTATTTACCTCTCATCAAGGCTTGGTTTAATTGCAATCAATGAAAATTTTCCTTTTCTGAATAGTGGTTCATAATTAGTTTATATTTGACTATGCTGTACCAAAACTTCTTCAAAATTTCAAGTGAGACCCCACCTTGAGAGGAACTTTAATTTTCGGTGATTTGACAGTAGGCCAATCAATTTCTCCTACTATCAAAAAAGCATAAAGGAAAATTAAACGTAGAAAAATTGATATTATACCTCCTTAGCATTGGGATTCAAAGGTGCACTGTAGCGATTTCCTTGACTATTAATGGTAGGACTACCACTTCCACCAATTGCATACATTTCCCATTTTGTATAATCATTGTTCACTACATGAATGTATCCCCTTCTGCATCTCGGCATTCTCTGCACGAGCTTCTCTCCGAAGTGATTAAACGCTATTGTCACTTGCATTCCTGTGTCCGGCGAGTAGTCATCACTGTGACCAAGCAACATTACTTCATTGTGATGAGAAAAATAATTGTTTGATATTGTGATTCCTGTGGAACCCATCACGGCATCAATCAGACCGTCCTTGCAATGAGACAGTGAACAATGATCAATCCATATGTCTTTGGACCCGAATATGGAGATCCCATCACCGTCCGATTCTGTCCGCCACCCGAAATGTGTTGGACTTGAACGTACATTAGCCTCTCCTGTGTTATAAATTCAGAAGTTTGAATAAGAATCACTAATCCTGGTGGGATTTTGGAGAATAATGTAAAAATCTTAAGAGTTACTTTGAAATTTTTTAAGTTCATTGGATTCTTATTCTCTGGATTCTCTGGACCCCTCACAATTATCAACATCTACTTAGCCAAATACTAAAGCTTATCCAAAGCAATAAAGCATCCAATATAAGGTTGTGTGTAATATAATGCTATTTGACAGATTTTATAGGCATATATACGGATTGTTTTATAACCAAGAAACATTTTTCAAAAGCAATGTTGTGAGGATTTACTTTAAGATTTTATACCCCATGAAAAAGTGAGGTTTTTAACTTAAAGCAAGTTCTACCTGACTGAACACAGTGGTGAATATGAATGTTGTGAATGATGACATTGCTAATATACTGCAATGTAATGCAGCCACCGCCGGTAATGTGGACATTAGCGCCGCGGCCGTCGAGGGTCTTGTAGCTATTAAAGATGAGCTCCTGAGATAGTTTTATGTGCATGTTACCTGGGAACACAATCCACAGAGGTTGGGTCTGTATTACAGCATAT